TTCAATGAATATTATTTTCTATCCACGTTATTCCAAAGCAAAGTCTTTGCTGTCAAGATATTTTTATTTTAAGTCATCGAAAACGACTTTGGCATTCTCAGATCAAACAAGAAAATTGTCATTCCTGATCCCTGCACAGCTAGTGATGCATTTTTGAAATTACATGGAAAGGGGGGCATTACCTCCAAAATAGGGAAGTTACATCTGAAGCCCCCCCAAAAAAATGTCTTTGTCACGTCTAATCTCCTTTTTTCCTTCCAGCAAAAGCTTGATATGAAATTTGTCCTCGGCACATTGTCTTATTAGGTGCCTTTTTTTCTCAACCATTAGGTCCACTAATAATTAATAAGAACAACATCGACCAATAGATGTTTAAAATCAAAATCCATCTTCTCTGAACCCCCACGAACATTTACTACGGTCCGCGGGATTTTTCTACACAAATAGAGTTTATTCAAGCATTGTTCCCGTTGATCAAAAAAAAAAAAAAATTCACAGATTCCAGCATATGCCTACTTCACACATGGTTCCGCTTAAACACATTTGATAAGAGTCGTGATGTTTTGGGATTAAAAAAAAAGGCAATTAAAACATGAAAAAGACGACAGTCTAGCATTCACATGAATGTAACCATATATTTATGAATATTCATTTATATAGATTCGATAACATACCTCCTGGCTTCATTTCAAGAATCTAGTAAACGAAAAAAAAAAAAACCTTCGGCGGGTGATGTCGCTGATATCTTCGATTCTGTATGGAAAAAATATTAGAAAAATAGAAGCAAAAGGATTCAACAAAGATTCACCGTTCACTGGTGGTGATACTGATACAGACACGACAAATTTACAAGGAAAGACGATGCTTAATTTATGAAAATGGGGCTTGGGATTTAGCGAAATTACGAGTTGCGCATCAGCCTCTAGGTTTCACATTTATAGTTTCCAAGAAAATCAGACTCCGCAGTGAAAGTCAAGGAGTGATGCTAGGTGGTAATTACAGGTAAGATCGGTTTTCGCCCTGTTTGGTCCACATAGGGGTGGGCAAAAAAATCTAAAATCCGATTAAACCGACCTAACCAAATCGAGTCAGGTCGGGTCGATTTGGATTGGTTTGAACCAAAAAATCGGCTTGGTTCGATTAATTTTAACCATTATAAAGTCGGGTTGGGTTGGTTGCGGACCGATCCAACCCGTAAATACATTTTTTTTTATTTTTTTCATTTTAACATTCATCTTCTTAAACTTTAAAAAAATAAAAATAAAAACACAAATATAATTCATTCTTAAATAATATATTTACCGTCTATGTTTTTTTCTACCAAATCTCCAAATTTCGAAGGAAAAAAAAGCAAGAAGTGTTTATTATAAATTCCAAATATAG